TACCAAAGGCTTACAAAAATGGTACTAACAGCTGCCACGCTTAACGCTCAGCATTAAGAGGTTAGTGTTAAGACTGGTCGGCCTGGTGTCAAGATAATGTGACTGGGTGGGACATCATTCTACATGTCTGCGGCATGATGTCCCAGTGCTAGACATCACTATAAACTGCCACACTGAAGCATCGTAGGGATATGGTTGAAAAATTGTTAAAACTACGTCAAAAATCATAATCACATCACATCTTTATATGCTATTGAAATGTAACATTGAATGTTGGACTTAAACCTTTTCCAAAAACAAGTTTATTTCCTTCGTGACCTGAATTATTTATTAAGTTTTTAAATTGTATTCAGTAAACATCTAATACATAGCTCAAATATTATCTGTGTCTGGGTTTAATATCAGGATTATTATTAATAGAGGCAAACATGTATATTTGGGTATTGGTCTAGGTTATTGGAATTTCTCTTCAATTTATTCTTTGTACCTGACATAGTCCAGGGCATATATTATAATTTTAGTAATGGACTTTCTTGTTATAACTAATATTTTATTTTGTAAACATTAAGAACTTTCTAAATTGTTATTTTCCATTATGTGATAGTCTTTTTTTTACCAAATGTCAATTGTCACCTGAGGTCAAATAGAATACTATATAATCTTGTTAATGAAAAGATTATTCACTGGTGCTTTAAGATCTATCAGAATAAATTTTGTATTAGTGTTGTGTCCCCAACTTCATTTGGGCTGGAATTTATCTCTTCAAATTATTTAATTCAATGCTTATTTTCTCTGGAAATACAATGTTTGCAATAAAATAAATAATATTCTTGGACAGCGACATTCACTTGGATTCATTGTGAATTCAAACCTGGAACTGCGTTAATGTGTTTCAACAAAAGACTTTTGGTACAACAACACGATACAGGCCGCCACAGGCACATCAATACCTTCAGAGTTAGACTTACTTTGGATTTCCATTAAAGTTTTTTCAGAACTTTTATTATTTGGACTTATCTCTGTAGTAATGTATTATTTTGGGATTTAATTAACAAAATTGTAAGCTCTTTTTTCATTTCCACTTTTTATTTTTAGAGAAATATATTATTTGTTGAATTTTACAAACATTTTTGCTTTTCGCTCTTTTCTGTCACTGTTTTTAAGAGCACAGATCTCGTAACAGAAGAAGAACCTGGAAACACCTCTAGAGCAACCACAAAATTGGCAAAGAGTCAAATTTTACATCCAGCTTTAAATTGAAGTTATGTTTGATTACAAGGGCATAGTCAGACTCTTTTCTGATAAATGCACATTAATGGGGAGGGGACTCCTGATACACAAAAACCTGGTAGTTCTATTTGAATGCACATTAAGGGGGAGCGGGCTCCTGATATACAAAAACCTGGTAGTTCTATTTGAATGCACATTAAGGGGGAGCGGACTCCTGATACACAAAAACCTGGTAGTTCTATTTGAATGCATATTAAGGGGGAGCGGGCTCCTGATACGCAAAAACCTGGTAGTTCTATTTGAAAGCACATGAAGGGGAAGCGGGCATTTGATACACAAAAACCTGGTAGTTCTCTTTGAATGCACATTAAGGGGAGAGGACTCCTGATACACAAAAATCCTGATAGTTCTATTTGAATGCACATTAAGGGAGAGCGGGCTCCTGATACACAAAAACTTGGTAGTTCTATTTGAATGCACATTAAGGGGGAGGGAACTCCTGATACACAAAAACGTGGTAGTTCTATTTGAATGCACATGCATCATTAAGGCTAAATAAGTGTTTTATCAACTGCAGCATGTAATAATGCCCGAATTGCTTATTCTTCTAACCAGAGCTATTTTTAGTGTATTATGGAACCCAAAAGCTAGTCTTAGTAATTGGAATTGTTTTTGACAATAGGCATTTAACTTCATTTAGAGCGTGGGATGATATACACTCCACACAGGGTTAACCCCCCAGCCTGCCTGATGCATGTATATAGTGTATGTTAATTGCTCTTGATATTAACAAAAATGACGGAATTTTAATTGCTTTTTCATTTTATTATTGTTGTTGTTATTATCGAAGACGATGATGATGATGAAGATGATCATTGATGACGAAGATGAATACGATGGCAGTTATTGGAGTCGCAGATGTTGGCAAGTGGAATGCATACAATTGTATAATCCACATATAAACATTAATAATAGGAGAGAGAGAGAGAGAGAGAGAGAGAGAGAGAGAGAGAGAGAGAGAGAGAGAGAGAGAGAGAGAGAGAGAGAGAGAGAGAGAGAGAGAGAGAGAGATCTTGGTCATTATTTTGTATTGTTCAGTATTTTAATAATGGGCAATGACGAGACTACACACATCTTAAAAAAACTGAAAAATAAACAATCAAGTAGTTGTTACTGAAGTGATTAATTAATTACACGATAAAGAGACATTGTTAATCATACAAAGCAACTAATGCTTTAAATGAACCTATTAGTTCTGTTCCGATTGTTTTGAGAAAAAAAACTTGAATTAAATTACTATGTTCAGTATCCATGTCAATTATTATATAATTTTCAATGGCAAATATTACGCAAACATATATGGTTATTGAGACTTGTTTATTTGAATAACTAACGATGAACACTTGTTGCACTGCATATGAACTGTCTGTCTGTCTTTCGTTTATGTTTCTTGAGTGAATTTGTGGTTCTATATGAATATTTCAGTGAATGAAAATTTATATTGTTGGTTTGAGGAAAACTTTTTAAGTTGTTGTAACATATGTTTATTAAAGTTCTGTCCCTTTTCCGGTCGATCTCTTCACACTATTATCTAGTTAGAAGCATGTAATGTCAACTCCAGTGACATTCTCATTGCTTTTAGGATTTTAGTTCACTTACCACTGCAAAGGTCTGGAAACAGCGCAGGTTTCCATTATGTAAACTCACTGTTATCAACGAGTAGTATATAAAGGGTGATGTATATCCGGCTAAAACTCCACCACCCATCCCGCCAAATGTAATCATCTTAAAAACAAAATCCATTATCTCTCCACCCATACACACAAAAACTACTTTACAAGGAAAACTACCACGCTACTCCATATACAATAAAAGAAATGTATAAAAATATCCCGCCCTCACAATTCTGTTATATGGTATCCATCGAAATAATCTGTAAAACAATTTTCCAACTTGTCACAAAATCGATATTATTCCGCAGACATCTGAGTGAGAAAGATTATCTTTATCTGCAGCAGTACTGAGACCTACACTCATCACAAATGATATTTTAGAAATAACCCGCCATAAAAAAAGTGCCGTGGAAAATACCTCTAAAACCAGAAAAACTAGAAAAATAAATAGAGAAGTAAATGTTTATGATTTAGTTCATGCATGAAAATTCTTTTTGTGAAAAGATAACAATTGTATAACATTAAATTCTTTTGTACGGATTATACTCGAGCAAATATCAATACACGAGTAAATGATGGACTATTTTTTTACTTAAGTGAAGAATTATTTTGTGACTGTTTACTTATTCATTATTAATCATGTATTTTTCTGCTTTCTTCGCATTACAGGAAACGCTTTGAAATAAAATAGAATGCTGAGTCAATTTTATATGATGGGTCGGAATGAATGCGTACATTCTGTATAAATTGCTCTGAGTATGACAGGATGATATAATGAAGTGGCGTAGCATGAGGAAGGCGGGGGGGGGAGAGATTTGTCCCTGGGCGCCAAAATGAGGAAAATACATTGTATTCGTTATCTCAGATGCACTCGAAGAGAGAACCGAGTTTATGTTTTGTCCCCATACGCTAAGTACCCTCGCTACACCACTGTACTCTGATTGTTGTCTTCATTCTGAACAGAAAACATGTGATTCATGGAGACAGCAAAGGATAATAGAAGACATACATGTACAACAATAATACTTTTTAATACACATCTTTTACGTTCGTGCAAAAATGTACTGATGGCTTTAGACTGCGCATCGCTAAAGAGAGTTTTGAAACGAATGAAGTGTAATTTAAGTATATCATTTTAAGATTGTCATTTAAGTATACCATTTTAAGATTGTCATTTAAGTATACCATTTTAAGATTGTCATTTAAGTATACCATTTTAAGATTGTCATTTAAGTATATCATTTTAAGATTGTCATTTAAGTATATCATTTTAAGATTGTCATTTAAGTATACCATTTTAAGATTGTGGAAACATATGCTGACTGAACTTTTACGTCGTTGATGGATGTTACACATGATTGAAATGGAAAAGCTAGAACGTTATTTTAGTACATCTATTTTTACGATCGTTGAAATATGTACTGATACATGTAATTACTCTATTGGATTTTTTTTTCAATGCTTATCACCAAAAAAGGCTGAGAATGATATTTTGGATTTCATGATTATCGACCTGTTAATCAAAAATGGGATAAATACATGAACTAAATATGCTCTATATGACAATTCATCTAGAGATGATAATTGAATGCAAAGAAAATACTTGTCTATTAATGCAACATTTAAAAGTTTATGTCCTTTTGGTAAAGCTCTCAGATCAATAAATGCTTCATTCATACTCTGAATTTGGCTTTTCTCTCATTGGAGATAGCAGAAGACTTTTAAAAAATATAAATTCGCTGAAAATTCCAACTGTATTTTTATGACAATTATGTTGTTTTTTTTTGTTGACTGATTATAGAGATCCGACAAAGATTAACATTCCTTGAAACTAATACTACGAGAGTTAAGAAAGAATCTTTATATTTTTTTGGTGTCAAAACATGAAATTAATACATGTATAATATCTCACAGGAATTTATATTTAGCTCTACCCTTATTTCCTACTAAGAAGAGAGCTAGTAATTTCTACAGCATACTCTTTCAAAATTTTATTCAATTCTCCAGTTTCTTTTTTTGAACCTGGAATATTTTTCTACATGCTGTAAGGTTTTGGTTGTAGGGAATTGGGGGTGGGCTGCTTCCAATATGTGTTAA